GATAAAAATAAAAAAAAAAAAAAATATTGAATAAAGAAATGTTTGCTGTGCTAATTTTACAACGCAAATTTGTTTTTGCAATGCCAGCTTAGCTTAGTTGACTAAGTATACATTCGATTAAATAAGTCAAAACGCATTTAAATTAATCTGCTACATAAACAAATATTCGTRTACATATATTTATATAATAAATATCACACATTCACATTATAAAAATGTATTGAAAAYTATTATATTTATTATATAAATGCGTCAGCGATAATCAAATGGCGGAAGCCATGCTACACAGGAACTCACTCATACTTACATGATATGTAAAGCAATGTGCCGATTTATATATATAATGTGAAGTAGTGAACTGATCATTATCAATTTGTTTCGGCACGAGTTCAGCTCTAATAAGTCTGACACATAATACATAATACAGTGTTAACTGGATATGTAGTTTCAGAAGTTGTGGCAAAATAAAAAAGGTTTTCATACAAGTATATGATTCGTATCGTTCAGTTTATATGGCAACTATATGTTATAGTGGACCGAATTTAACGATTTGTTTGGAGATTATATCGTTAACTTGAGCAATACTCCATGCGAAATTTCGTACAAATATCTTGTCAAATAAAAAGGTTTTCATACAAAAACCTTATTTACAATGTTCAGTTTGTATGACAGCTATATGCTATGGTGGCCCGATATCGACGTTTGCAACATATGAGCAGTTTCTTAATGAGTAAATGATGTGTGAAAAATTTCAGATCGATATCTCAAAAACTGTGGAACTATTGCATGCTCGCTGTTCGCTAATAAAATACTTTCGATGGCGTTTTAATAGTATCAAAGAAATTRTGCGCGGTCTTCCAGTAAACTCGCTTTAAAAATATTTTATCGCATAATTTAATATATACACACAAACTTTACGTTCCTTCGTATGGAATTTTGAAAACAAAATACTTCCCGTAATATCTAGTGCTCACTGTACGGCCTGCAATAGGGAGTCTGCATATGACACAAATGAAATTCGCTAAGAATCAATTTTATGGCAGACAGTAATCGCAGACACACTGACCCAGTCACGATTATGGCACAAGTGAAGTATATACTAACATATTTCGGAGCTCGTTTATATATGAGTGACGTAGCTAGCGCTTCAAGTGACATATGTAGGCAGTTAGATAAGAAAATCAGCGGACTCAAAAGCGCATAAAGTCGCATGCACGTATGAAAGCGTTCCGCGTTGCTTTTTTTAATTGTAATTGTAATACGCATTTTATGCTAAAACGCCATTAGCGTTATGCAAACGGAAGTAAGATATGTCTGTATGTACAAGTTATGCACATAAATCTAATWATAATTGCAGTTTTGCTTAGTTGGTCAGTGTCAGCCTGCAGAATATGCGTTTCGATTTAAAAGCACAGAAGTGGGTAATTAGGTAAAGGGTAACAGATAATTGGTGTACGCTTGGTTCTGCGAAAAGCCTAGAGTTATTTAAAATGCCATTTATTTGTTGTTTAGCTTTAGAAAACTGCTTATCCCAATTTTTTATTTTCTTCTTACTTTAATGTTTTTTTTCTTTGTTTATAGCATAAATATTTCGAAAAGCGTTTCAAAGCAGAAGTWAGCATACTGAACGGCAATGAGCTCGAGTTAAGTTTTCTAAACCAAAATTTAGAAAAATATTTCTCAATATGTTAACACATATATAAGTACATATATACAATATGCATATGCACATGTAACGTTACCTAAAATGCAAAATAGCGTAACATCGCTTATCATAAATTTACAGGCGCAGAAAAAACATTACAATAGAAACCACTCATACGGAAAAAGAAGTGAGTTTTGGTTATAAAATAGTTATATAGTGGTTATAAAGTGGTTATATATTGTGTATATTTCGCAGCGGAAGCTGTAAATTTTATGCTAAAAATATATAATATAATGTAGTGAATAGTAAACAATGAAATACTCAATTTCGGTTTGTTGATAATACGTTGTTTTCCATTTTAGGTGACGATGTGTGCATATAGTATTTAAAAAATTATCAAGAAAAACTAGTTTTATATTGTTATAATTAATATATAATATATTAAATATATACACAAGTAAGGGTGATTGATCAAGATTTTCTTCTAAAAATTATAGCTTTTGTAAGCCATTGCTCCATTGATACGATAGATCATTTCATCGGCATTTAAGCACTCTCTAGAATATGTCTCGAATTTAAGGCTATTTTTAAAATATTTCCGAATGCGATACACTGTAACGCACATAAAAAAATAAAAAAATTAAT